CCGTCCGGGCGGGTCCTGCGGGACAAAACGGAGAGCCGGTCACGGGGTGGGGCGCGGGCGCTCCCGGAGGAGGGCAGCGGGCAGGAGGGAGCGGCCGCCCTCGAGGAGCGAGTCTCCGGGCCGAGAGAGGCGCTGAGACGGGGTCCGGTCGGCCCTGCGCGCAGAACCGAGGGCTCACGGGCAACCCCTCCAGGCGCCGCTCCGCAGCCGGGGCCCCGGCGCCTGCCCCGCAGGGCGCTCCCCCAACAGGCTGGCTCTCCGGGACCGAGCCGGTTGGGGTCTGGAGGCGAGTCGGGGGACGCGGCGACCGGACTCACTCACCATGCCCGGGTGCAACTGCAGAGGCGGCGGCGGCGGCGGAGGCAGGGCGGGAGCGCAGCGGCCGGAGCCTGTGAGCCGAGAGCCGCCGGCTCGTCGCTGCACTAGTGTCGGAGCGTGTGCGAGAGGGAGCGAGGGAGCCACACGCACTCACACACGCGCTCGCACACACGGGAGCGCCGCGAGGGGAGGGAAGAAAGGGAGGAGGTAGGGCAGTGCTCACCGCCGCCCACGTTTACACGCCTGGGCACCGGGCTTGGCGGGGGGGACTCTTTGCTTCTCCCCCTTAGCTGCACTTCGAGCCCCGCGTCACCAAAGCCCAGGACACCCGTTCAGCAAACACGGGGAACCAGGCAGGCGAAGACCGAGGCAGGCACGGGACTGGAGCGTCGCCTATGGAGCTGGCGCGCACCAGGGCCAGATCTCCCCGCCAGGCCACCTTCAGCCCTCGTGGTGGGGCCCACCTCTCTGAGCCCAAGCTGCGTGGTACCAGAGAGAGAGTTGGGGTTTCTGCGAGCCTTTGCTTCACCCTAGTGGCGAAGCTTGTAGCCGAAGGAAGAGGTCAAACCCATTGCTACAGGTTCCTAAACTGAGGCCAGGGGTCAAGTGCTGTATGTGAGGCTGTTGGGTGACCAGTTAGCTGAGCTTTACACGCTCTTCTTCTTGGGCACTGTCCTCCCCACCTTGCCTCGTACAAGCACCTAGACGCACCTAGCCCCAGCGCCAGATGGCACCTCATACTTCTTTCTGGGACTTTCTGTCAGAGCTTTAGGGCCAAGTTAGAAAGCGGTCTGAGCAATAGCGGAGCCTCTAACTCTCAGCTTTGAAATCCCTCTGTAGCTGATGGGGGAGACGGGCGTCTAAGTGAGCGTTCCTGTGTAGTTGTGCGACCAGACTTGTGGAAAGGAGCGCCCCCTCCCGCCCCTGTCCAACTTTCAAAGCCCTGAGGCCACCCCAAGAAGGAATACTAATCAGCTTTGGTATGTGCCTGAGGAGGTTGCGGGGGAGGATGAGGAAATGAGAACTAATATGCGGTGGCCACAGACAAAATCCTGCCTCAGTGTCCCAGCATGCGTCTGTTGGGGGGCGGGGCAGATTGTCAGAGTGAGGGCGGCAAAGAACTGTCCCCTGCCTGTCTATTCAGTGCCACTCATGTGACCCAAACCTGGAATCCTCGTCCTGGAAAGGCAGAGGATGGGAGCCACTGAAAGAGTAGCCTGGAGCTGGAAGCCAGACTCAGGCAGGGAGGGAGAAGCTGATCCTGGGAGGAAGAGTGCGCAAACTCCCCTGGCAATCTCCACTTGCTACTATCTCCCCATTCCCTCCCTCTTCCTCTGCACTTCCACCCACTCCCTCAGCTTCATCTCAGCTGCCACCCTCTTCTTAACCATTCTCTGTTTAACAGTCATTTATTTAGTGCCTACAGTACGCCTGGCACTGGGTAAGGGCTGGGATAAATGGATGAGTAAGACTATCCCTTTCCTCTAGGGGAGGAAGCTTACAGACCATTGGGGAGACAGATAGAGAAATGATTTCCAAGTAGTGTGGTTAAGTCCCATGAGAAAGGCGGGTGCAGAGTACTCTGAGAGCACAGTTGATGGGTATCCAGCCTAGCCCTGGGGGCCACAGGCGAAGATCAAAGGCAGTTTTCTGGATGAAGTACTGCCTGAGCAGAATCCTGATGAATGACTATGAGTTAATAAAGCAAGCAAGAAGGGAGGGCACTCTGGCCAGAGGGACCATCATTAGTAAAACCTGGAAGACACGAAGTGGTAAACAGGTATGCAAGGGGGGGATACAAGGAGTTTAGCATAAACTCTGAAGGAGTCTTCCGTATCAGGTTAGCAGGAGGGCATTGTATATCCTGTCAAATAACTTGAATTTATTCTGCAAGTAATGGGGAACTATGGGTGAGTTTTAATCAGGAAGGAAACACTGTCAGATGTACACATTCGCTGGATCTCCAAGTCAAATAGAGTGGGAGCATTGGACACAGGAATAACAATTCGGAAGCTGTTCTGATAATCCAGGTAAAAGATGATGAAGGGATGAAGTAGGTTACTGGTAGTTGATGCCCATAGTTGAAATGACAAACATGGCTGATTTCAGGACAGAGTTAGCCATGGTCATGTTGAAGCTCCCTGGAGAGCTTTAAGTGGAGCTGGCCAGAACAAGAGTTTTAAGGTCAGGAGAAAGGTAAGACAGGCAAATAGATTCAACGATCATGAAAGCATACTTGAGGGCAATGGCTCTATATTCTTCACCTTCATATTATATGCAGTTTCTAAGCTGTTCCCTACCTTTCTCCCTCCCTGATCTTTCATCTCCCCTTCATTATTCCAAAATTGTCTTTCAGTACCTGGGAGCTTCCTAGCAACGGGTAGAAGTGTCTTCCTCACATGGGACTCTAACAAAATTTGATCATACGGCACAGGGTACAAGAAATGGTTTTTGTTCTTCAGACCGCCACCACCCACAAATATGTTCTGAACCCTTGTGATCATAATTTGTGGTGTCAACAAACAGATAAAATAGAATATTATCTCAGAGTTGGATAGGATCTTAGAGGTTATTTAGTCCAACACTTACTGCAGTACACTGTATTTCTTATTGATACTTCCAATCCTTCTAGTTTGCCCTTTATAGCCCACCATATTGGTTGCCTACCAACATCCATTTTGTCACTTTCTCCTTCTGGTTTCAATACCTTGTTGACAGTACTGAAACGTTTCTTTTGTGTGTGTGTGTGGATTTGACTCATTAAAAAGTGCCAAGGAATAATAGTGACAATGCTAGAGGCTGTAATACATGACATAAATACAATATAAATCATAACTAACAATGCACAAACACCAGAAGATAAACTAGATATTTGGGTGCTCCTAAAAATTAAACACTTAGGCTCATGAAAAGACTT